CTCCTCCTCTTCTTCTCCTCTCCTTCTCTTCTTCGTCCTCTTCTCCTTCCTCGTCCTCTTCCTCTTCTCCACACCTGCTTTCCTACGGCTCTATATGCTCCCCCTTGACACCGAGGAAGCGACACAGACCTTCTCCTTTTTCTTCTTCCTCCTCCTCCTTTTCTTCTTCTTCCTCTTCTCCTTTTCTTCCTCCTCCTCCTATTCTTCCTCTTCTCCCTCCTCCTCTTCTTCTTCCTCGTCCTCTTCTTCCTCTTCTCCACACCTGCTTTCCTACGGCTCTATTTACTCCCCCATGGCACCGAGGAGACGAACCTGAGCCTCCTTGACGTACATCTCCTTTCCAGACGACACGTTGGCCATCATGGTCGTGGCCTTCATCGGGCGGTTCCTCATCACGATGTCCATGGATATCGGGCACCAGTACCCTGTGGAGGTGCTCCCGACGGTGGCGCGGGGGCAGGGCATCGGCGCCATGCAGACTGTGGGCTTCCTGTGTGGCTTCAGCTCGCCGTATATTGCTTATTTGGTAATGGCTTCAGTGGCTTTTCATAATTGGATAAATGAAAATACAAAGTCATGCACATTCACGCAGACGCAGCGGACACGCACACACACACACAAAACACACATACAGACATACACACACAGACATACACACACAGACATACACAAACACACAGACATACACACACACACACACACACACACACACACACACACACACACACACACACACAACACACACACACACTCTCTCTCTCTCTCTCTCCTCTCTCTCTCTCTCTCTCTCTCTCTCTCTCTCTCTCTCTCTCTCTCTCTCTCACTCACTCACTCACTCACTCACTCACTCACTCACTCACTCACTCTCACTCTCTCTCTCTCTCTCTCTCTCTCTCTCTCTCTCACTCACTCACTCACTCACTCACTCACTCACTCACTCACTCACTCATCACTCACACACACACACACACACACACACACACACACACACACACACACACACACACACACACACACACACACACACACACACACACACACACACACACACACAACACACACCCCCCCCGCCCCCCCCCCACAAAACCCAAATACCCTTCTTGAAGAAAATCCCCCCCCCCCCCCAAACACTTGCATCAACTAACCCCCCACCAACCCGATTCCCGTTTCTCCCCGCCAGTCCAAGTTCGGTCCGGCGGTTCCGTACGTGGTGCTGGGCGTGATCACGGTCACGGGCGGCTTCGCGTGCCTCCTGCTGCCCGAGACGCTCAGCGAGAAGCTCCCCGACACCCTGGAGGAGGGAGAGAGCTTCTTCGCCGGCCAGGGACTCTGCCACAACCCCTGCGCGAGGTGAGGGTCCTGGGGTGGGGTGGGTGGGGTGAGGCGGGTGGGTGGTGTTATATGCCGGTCAGGGACTCTGCCACAACCCCTGCGCGAGGTGAGGGTCCGGGGTGTGGATGGAGGGGTGAGGGCGGGTGGGTGGTGTTGTATGCCGGTCAGGGACTCTGCCACAACCCCTGCGCGAGGTGAGGGTCCGGTGAGGGTGAGGGTCTGGGGTGGGGCGGGGGTCGGTGGGGTGGGGTGGGGTTGTGTTTTATACAGGGGTTTGTTAAATTTGTGCGGTACCCGACCCAATGACAATTCGGATACACGAAACATCCATATACGCAGAAATAAATGCATATCGATCTATTTAACGGATATATATACATTGATCTATCCATCTATCTGGTTAATTATGTATGTCTAGACTGATAGACATTCATTTCCGTGTATGTGCATGTCCGTATACTGAATGTTCATTGGGTTGAGACTCGCACAATTTTAACAAAACGGCCGCTTGTCTGCACTGGTACTAGGATTGTTTGTTATCATCGTTCTTTTCATTTGCTATTGTTACTATTTTGTTATTTTTACCGATATTATTATTATTTTAGTGTATTATTATTATTATTATTATTATGTAGTGGTATTATTATTGTTATTATTATTATTCGTAGTGGTATTATTAATATTTTTATTATTTTCATCATCATCATCACCATAATTCTCATTGTCATTATGATTACCATCATTAAAATTACCATTATCATCATCATTGCTCTATCATTACCATTATCCCCGCTATCTTCTTTTCTTCTCTCATAGGAAAGTGAATCTTATAAGAACAAATGAAATTATAGGAAAGATGTGTTTTTATACCAGCAGGTCAGCAGTACATTTACATATATTTTCAGGAGGAACAAGATCTCAGCTGGCGACGGAGCGGGAAGAACGACCGACCCGCCATCTGGAGGCAAGCAGAGTAATGACAATAATGCGAAGTGAATAATGCGCTTCTTCGGTGTCATTTGTTTTACGCAGGAGGGAGAAAATTAATAAGAAATATTGGTATTTTGCTGGGGTTGCTGTTGAATATTGTGGGATTTTTAGGTGAGATAATTGGAGGAAAATTTTGGATCAAAAAAGATGTTTTTGATATGCCAGACCCCATTTATGG